TTTTGACCAAATTTTGTGCAGGCGTTTTCTCAAAAACTCTTCAGTGGTTTTCAGTGAAACTTTCAGGAAAAATGAGTCATTAAATGAACTTTGTTCATCACAAGGAAAATTTGGTAAATTCTCTTTTGGTTCCAAGTTATGGACTAATTCCTGGTTTTTAAATGGACTTTTGTCGATGAATGTTCTAAAGAACTGCTAAAGATATGAACTGGAGACTTATTGGAGAAGATAGATCATGACCTTTAGATTTGCAGAATTATCTTTTTGTGCGTCGTCACCACTTCCGATTGCTACCGGAAGCGAATTTAAAAAGGGCATTTTTTAACTTTTTTTGTTTTTCAATTTTCTTTTTACGATTTTAGTAAATTTAAGAGAGACTCTTTTGTAAATGCTTAATATGCAATTTGTTTTAAAATCGATCAATCCAAACTCTAGATATTAGCATTTTAAAATTTGAAGCGGGTCCAAAATGGCGGCTGTCTCCGACGAGCAGGTCGGCACTCGGAGCTTCTCGAGTGGCTTGTTCCTCTCAAACTAACTTCGGACGTCAATGGTGTTCTACCATGTTGCTGATAAAGTCATGTGATCTTATTTGAAATTCCTCCACGTGTTATACCTTTGAAAACTGAGTTACTTTGAAGCACTCCCAACACTATGTTTTGCTTTCAAAGACTACTTATATGATGCTGTGATCAAAACCAATATAAGAATTAGACAACAGAAAAAAAAAATGAAGAACTTAATGCTGAGTAAAATATGAAATGAATTACAAGGCAGTTTCTGGCGGAGAAATGTAATCGATTTGATGCATATTTTTCCACCAATCACTTCCGAGGTTTGTATGGAGCGTAGCTGAGTCAGTCGAAGATTGCCGATTGGCAGGTCGGAGTTTACGGAGAAAACCGAGCGTCTTGTTGATCGAAACTACTACAAGGATCAATGAAATATGAAGAAAATTGTTGGATCTGGCAGATTATGAAATGGATAATCTGTTTTAAAAACATAGATACTCTGACCTCCAAATGCAATAAAATTAGTAATTTGTACGGTACATACAATAATATATATATGAGAATGGAAACCATTTAATAGAAAATACATATCAAAGAAAAGGCGCAAAGATTTACTCGTCACGATTGGCGCAAAATAATGTATCGTGACTCTTCTTTCATAGTAGAAAAATGGTCTGATGCAAAAGTGCAGAAAAAGATTACACGGACACATTTGTTTGAAATACAGGTATATGGAATTGCATGGAATAAAAATGTGAATACAAAAAGAATAAAAGAAGTAAACAGTATCATCAGTTCATCAGTAATAGATTTTTTTGTTATTGTTTAAACTCAAGTAACGAATTCTGATGTGAATCTGCTTGCACAAAATTTGGCTAGCTAGCTCTGATTCTATAATTCTGCACTATATAAAAGAACTTTTAACCTCACTGACGCTCGATACTTCAGGCAATGATACAAAGTAAACATCGATGATGGCTGGTAAAATTACACTGGTGTAGTGGCTTCCAAATTGAATTTTCACGAAGGCGATCTGGGTTTAATTCCGAATTTGTTTGCTTAAATTTACGTTTTCAACTTTATAAATGATGTTGAGTTGTTTTTTTGTTAGAGATGATAGAATATGATTTATAGATTGGCGAAGGGACCTTTTCATGCGTCGTCGTTAGTTCCGGTCGCTTGCAGAAGCGAATTTAAAAAATCGATATTTTTCATTTTCAATATTTTTCTGTAATATCTGTAGGGTTAAGGGAGCCTCTTTTCAAATATACTAAATATACAATTTGTTTTCGAATTGATAAATCCAAACTCTTGATATTCGTCATTTTCACTTTGAAGCGGGAGTTGAAATGGCGTAATGGTTAGCACGTTGGATTTCCACGCTAACGACCAGGGTTAAATCTCCAGAGTGTCTGAAATTTTTTTTTCACTTGAATTTACATTTTCGTTTTCAAAATCGGACGGAAGACCTCTCATTGCTTGCAATGAGTTTCTAGTTATTATTACTATTATATAATGATGATGTGAAGCAGAAAACACTCAAAATTCTTAGTTACTCATGCATTTTATCCTATGTGATTTTAAAATTCATTTTTTCGTTTGAGAAAAAGGTACATCAGAGACATTAATAACAATAAACATGTCTCTACACGTTTGATTTTTTAAAGATTCAGATAAAGTGTTCTGTAATGTGTTTCCTTAATCCACATGGTATCAAATAAGTCAACACGTAAACTGACCGACTGGTGACCAAGTCCACTTAAATCCAATATGTCAACTCATATCCAAATCATAGAAGTCAATTTGTAATAAAAACTTGGTTTAGAGGGGAGAAGTGGTTTTACCCTATCAAACTTTGAATCATGTAACTGCCCTGTGTCTGGTTTATGAGTAGATTGTTCTAAGGTTTTAAACTTACATATAGCATCATTTTTCAAAGGGGAGGGCAGAAAAAGTAACTGACAAGGTACCTTAATAAAATGCTACAAGGAAAAATAATGAAAAAAGAAAGTTGTACCAACTCGAAAAATCCATTTTGGGAAAAAGGGATGGGTTCTAGGGCTGGGATGATAGTATTACAATTTTTTTATATTGATACCTATCATGATATTTGAGCCATGAAACGGTATATTGCACAACATTTTGAATTGGTCACAATTTTTTTTTTTGTGTATTAGAAAGAACAAAACACTTCTTCACTAATTAAGAATAATTTATTTATAAAAGCTGTATATCCGTCGAGAAACAAACTTATTTCAACAAGTGGTGTAAGTTATTGTGTATTTCACAATATTTACATTTCCAATGTCTCTGTCCGAGATAAAATTACAAATTTTAAAAATACTTTATTTCTACATAAATCTACTGGTTCATCGATAGGCGCGGTTACAAAAAATCACGTGCGGGGCATATTTAGCATATTTATCTTGTATATTTATATTAAACCCATAGCCAAAATGCTAAGAAAAATAAGTCTGAAACTTTTTATTGATATTTCTGCATTTCTACTTACGTATTGATAAGCGTATCATCCTCAAACAGAATCAATATTATTGATACATAAATAATTTATTCTCGTTGTAAAGCTGGATTCGATTGATATCGTATAAATTGGGTTTTCTACGTCACAATGACTTGCGTCAAATACGTGTAGATCCGCGTGGCGTTACATTCAAATTTTGTAGAAATTGTAGTAATTTTTTAAGGGTAATCATTTTTTTTTTCTTATACCAAATGAATGAACATTAAATCATGAGGAAAGAATTTAATATATATAGCTACCAAATTTATACGGTATAAACTGGGTTGGAACCGTTTACACTTTTTTTATAAACCGCGAAGTGGTTTATAAAGCGTAAACACTCCCAACCCAGTTTATACCATATAAAATGGGTAGCTATTTTATTCACTCCTGAAATAAATCGTCCCAGCCCTCATTTGTTTCAACTAAATTCTACTGGTGTTAAAAAAGAAATTGAAATTAAATGTTGGAAACAATGACCCTTAATTTGACATTAGAAAACAGAACTATGTTCAAAATTACTAATTGAACCCCTTCTTCATTGTCAGATGCAAGTAGTGCCAATTTCTTTCTTATCTTTCAAAAAATTCTAGCCGCATCCGAACTTGTAGTTCTTGAAAATTATAATTTTTAGATACATAAAAAAAGACAATCAAAGGTTACAAGAAGTTTCTGTAAAGTCTTATGGATAGTAACTGTTGACATACACGTACTGGGTTCGAGTCATTCAGGTTAAAAGTTGACAAAAAACAATCCACATGCACGTAAAAAAAGACGATCGTACTTCTAGGCATGTTTAACTTTGTAATCTGATGCAGCTACATGATTTTTTTTTTCAGATTATGCTGTTGGGGTCTTAAGGAGCAATAAAGAAGAAAAAGAAAGAAAAGTCTGAAGATGTCATCTTCACTGATGAGATAAAAATGGAATTGCATTCCAAGGGTCAGTTGCATTTTAGCAGTGGCTCCTCCACAGCAGATTTTCAGTAAACAAAAAGACTAATGCCAAAGCATTCATACAAGGTTTTTTTGTTATTAAAAGGACTGATCGTCAGATAATAAGCATTACAATTTCCTATTCAAATTTGTATTCCATATATATATGCAATGTACATGTAAATTATATAAATACTGATAAACAAAACTGTACTTAGTACTGTGTATAAGTTTCACATTTGGCATGTTTGATATTTGAATTTTTAACCTTTTTTTTACTTTAATATTTACCGGTAAGCAGTGTGTTTGAAAGTTAAAATAATTCAAGGATGAGTTTCTTAAATAAGTCTCAATTGAAAATAGGAACCCCAAAAGTAAATATGAAATTTATAAACCTTTATTAAGATTACTTTAGGAAGATTTTAGGTTAATGTCTATCCAAGAAGAAAAATTAAACTAATCAGCTGTGAAGAGATTTTGAAATTAAATCATAAAGTAAATATCTTACATTTTTTCAGACCGATGGCATTAAACAATACAATAAGTCCACCAGGGATTGAATGGCAAAAAAAAAAAAAAAAAAAAAAAAAAAAAGAGAGAGAGAGAATATTTTGAAGAATGATTTAGATATACTGGCATCCTCTCTGGACCTAAATACAATTGAAAACCTTGGCAACTACAAATAGCTGATGTTTGTTTGTTTGTGTGTTGTTTAACGTCCCTCTCGAGAATTTTTCACTCATATGGAGACGCTGACACCTGTCGGTGAAAATACAGTACTTGGCCATAATACAGTACTCAAAATGGCCGCCGTTATAAAAATATACGTGCACAGTTGCAGTTTTGAATGTTGTTCTTTTCAAACTGATATGTAATAAAATTTATCCTATCTTACTAATACTTGATTATGGAACCATTTGCTTTTATTACAGCTTGTAGTCGTGTTGGTATTGATGTGTAAGTTTTTCTAATCGTCTCCAAATCGATAGAGGCCCATATGTCCTTCACAATACGCCATAGGTCTTTGCGTTTTTAAATTTTGTCCAGGCGATTTTCCAGTCTGATCTTAATTGTCCTCCTCACATTTTCAATTATGTTAATGTCTGGTGATTGACTAGGCCAGGTAAGTGTAGGGATTCTGTTTGTTGTTTTCCATTCAACAGTCTGTCTGGACTGGTGCACCGGACAATTATCCTCCTGTAGAATCCATTTACTTGCAGGAAACTCCTTTGCAACAAGAGGCCACAAATTATAATCTAGGACCGAAATATATTTCTCAGAGTTTATATTTCCATCTACTTCAGTCAAAGTTCCTACACCATTAAAAGATAAACAACCCCAGAAGATAACTGATATGCCGGAGTGGGGCGAATGACTGCTATTATACTGTCCAAGACAATCGGGTTGAAATCTTTCTCCAGGTTTTCTCCAGACGTAAATTTATCTGTCCTTTCCTAAAACAACTTTCAACTCATCACTAAAAATAACCTGACTCCAGTTTTCCTCCACTGTCCACCCTAATTTGGATCGACACCACAAAACACGGTTTTGACGATTTGGTTTCGAGATTGTTATTTTCTTTAAAACGGAGCATCTTTGATATTTCTGTTCTTTTAATCTCCTTCTTACAGTTCTATAAAACACTTTCTGTGGTACAGATTCGTAAAATTTATCAGTTAAATCTGACAGAGTCTGTCGACGATTTTTCTTCACCAACCTAGACAAGACACGATCACCTCTTTCGCCCACCAGTCGATTTCTTCCCTGTCTTTCTCTGTTTTCCATGGAACTCCTTTCAGCATTTCGTCTAACAATCTTCTGTATGGAATTTGGACTTATTCCGATAATTTCCGAATTTTTCCGGCTACTTAAACCACTCTCATTCAATTTGATTATCATCTGCTTTTGCTCGAGTGAAAGGTCTTTTCCCCTCGGAGCCATTTTCATTTACGTATGTTTTGGTACTAAAAATAAATCTGAGGAACTTCCTATGTGTGTGACGTCAGATATGACGCTCATGTATGGTTGTGCGTAGTTGTCATTTTTTTTTATCATATTACAATCGATAAAATGGAGAGGAAAAACATCGTATGTTAATTTTGATTTTAACGGCGTCCATTTTGCGTACTGTATTAAGGCCAGGTACTGTAGTTTACGTAATAGACATATATATTTGGTAGAAAATTATTCTATTAATCAAATCTTTAAAAATAGGATCTTAAAGGGTTTTTATCACGTCTCAAAATTTTTTGATATGACAAAGTTTACATGCTATTAAAATCATATAGTTAAAAATCTTTGCTAGAAAATTAATAGTTTTGATGTTTCAACGACTCAAAGTTTGAATTTCTCAATATGCATATTTTGATCGCCGATGTTACGCGCCATTGCTCTGACGTCATAGGTGCCAATCGAAGTACTTATTGTGTATACAAAAGGGGTCATTTGTTGTGTCTATTAAACCTGTTAGAAAATAATTAAGAGATAACTGGATAATTGACAGCTAGTAAGGTATAATTTATGGCTTTAGGATGCGCAAAGGTGCACAAGAAAGGTTTTAGGAAGATTTATTTCCCCCACATTTTCCTGGAGTTGGTCGAGAGATGAAAGGGGGGCACTTTTCTGCAAATGCAATGGCGTTTACAGTATCTCTGTTCAGAACAATCGTGTATGCCCTATCGATCACGATTTTTTTTCTGTCCTATAAAACATTTTAAGAGAGATACTTAAAAAAAATAATAAATGACAAACACGCATTTTTTAAAAGTCGCTCAGAATCTAGAAGGAATGATGTGAACTTCGTAATGGCGAAATGTCATTTCTAGTACATGTTATTCACTGCTGGAACAGATAGAAGATATATAGGATTTATTCATATATAATTAATTAAAATAATGAAGAAGGAGAATTTAAAATTCCCATATCTATAATTGTTTACGAAGGTAAACCTAAGTAATTCGTTCTATCTCGTCGAAGTTCCGAGTTGTCAACGGCTTCGTTTTCGGTGCCCTCTCCTATTGTAGGCATATTTTCTGGTTATTTCTCTCTGCTAGACGTTCATACGTGAAAGATTGACCGTCCATAACCAAAGTAATATAGTCGATGTCAAAATTTCAACCGGCCATATTCTATTTATTTAGCGTAAAATCTATTCAATATATTTTTTCTTACGATAAGCTTTACGAATTCTATTGACTATTGACACCTATGACGTTTCAGTACCACGTGACCCCTATCTCATTAGTGGAGATTTTTACTTCGAGGACCCTATATTACGGGCGTTTTATCGTCTAATTACGACCGTTTTCAACATAATTTCATAATTAAACGATAATTATATGTTTCAAGAATATAATAGTGTTTCATTTTTAAGAAATGTAGATACGTGATAAAAACCCTTTAACATATATTTTCTTAGAATAAAAAAATCCTCTTCTTGTGTTGAAAATATATAGCATAAAATCCGATGGAATTTACTCTTTTATCATTTTTACACAAGATAGAATTCTATTTTTGTCATCATTTTTTTTTTACTGAAAATAAAGATAGCGATTCAATACTTCTAGCATTCTGACTTACATATCTTGAACTCTATTTGTGCAAACGGTAGCAAGTTAGTTATGTTAGAAAAAAATGTCACCATGTAATAGGAGTTGTATTAAATACACGTATAAAGGATGTGGTAGGATGCGATAAAGTAAACAAATCTGATAAAACCATTCAACCTGTATGTACTTATATAAAGTCTCAAATGAATTAACATAACTAAAACATTATCAGTAAAATGACCCCATTTTCAAGTCTGATATACGTTGAACTGGAAAAAATTTTGTAACTGATACATGCATTTATTCGTTTTCAGAGAAAGAGAAATTGAAACAGATCCTGGACATGTTAATAGGATAGAAAAAAAAAAACCAAGTTGATGCAAGGTATAAAGATATGTGACATAAATTTTAGGATAACATTTTTTTTTTACATATGTTAATTTGCATCTTTGTCATACACATTTTACAAATATTCTTGAATGTGTTCAAATTTGATAAATTTAACTCTATTTTAAATTAAAAAAAAAAGATTAAAAGTTTTAATACTTGAAGTACATTGCATTTATTTTATCTTCGCAAACTACTGCAAAGTACAAAATATGAGGGATCAGTTGTTGATGGCGATAGGTTTATCAAAACAAGATCGAAATGCATAATATGCCCTCTAAATGAACATTATACTATAACTATTACAAAGGACTAGAAGGCGTCGACAGAATACAAGTCTCCAGTAACCCATCATTATTCAATGAAAAAAGATTTGATGCAGAAAAAAATTCCTTTGATAACACATGATGGTACCAAATCTCAGTTTAATCAAAGCAAAAACATCCAGTCAGAGTATTCTTCCAAACTACTCATTACAATTACATTTTCAAAACGTATTTTTAAAGGAGTATCGACTTAACTCAATTTCAAACGTTTTTACATAAATTATACATAAATATGTTCATAGCTTTTTAGAGACAAAAAATCAAAATTTGACATTGAAAGTAATAAAAAAAAAAGGTTGAAATGAAGACGAATACACAGATTGGGCATATTTACCATCTTTCAAATGCTGCTGCACAATGCACTGAAAAGGATGGGAAATGTGCAAAAGGGGAAAAGTGTGATGGAAAGGAAGTGGCTGGAATGTGTGGAGGCAGAGAAACTGCTGCATACCACAAAAGTACAAATGACATATTCTTGTTTTTTTTTTTTTTTTTTTTTTTTTTTTTTTCAAGGAAAATCATAAAGTAGATAAAATATTTGCCGTGGATAGATACTGTTTTGTTTTTGTTTTTTTTTTTTTTGCTTCTTACTTCGTGTGTTTCAAAACTAAATTATACTTTCAAACAGGCATTATAAAAACCCTTTATAAAAACCTCGGAACTTTATAAAGAATTCTTTAGAGATATTTCATAATTTTACCAATAGAGATTGTAACTCTATTTGCACAAAATGTATGCAGTCAATAATTATTTAACAAATAATAATAGGACTTTGATAAGCTTATACAGTTGTAGATATTTTAAAAAAGCACTTATTTCAGATTTTTTTTTTTTCTGAAAACGTTTTTCTTGTGTATGTCTTATTTTGTTGTTTTCATCTTTGAATTGACTAAGGTACTTTTTAAATTTCAGGCAAAGGTATGAAAAAGGGCTCTGGATGTGGTAATGACACTTGATGCAAAATATCTGGATTCTTTTATTTGCCAAAATGGGACTAAAAAAGAATAAAAAAAAATAAATAAACAAAAAACTTGATTGGCTGTTTGAATACTTATAAAAAAGATCTGTAGACAAGTCATTCCAACTAGATCGTACCCAATTTATCATTCTATCCACCCCTAACAAAAAAAAAAATTGGTACTATAGTTAACTATAGCTAACTATAGTTTACTATAGCTAACTATAGTACCAAAGTAAAAACTTTGGAACTTTGATTTACTATAGTGAAAACTTTGGAACTTTGATTTACTATAGTAAAAACTTTGGAACTTTGATTTGGAACTTTGATTTACTATAGTAAAAACTTTGGAACTTTGTTTTACTATAGTAAAAACTTTGAAACTTTGATTAAGTACGATAAATCCCGTGGAATCATGTTTTTGATTCCCATTCTTTGCATTTTATGATATTTCAAGTATAAGATTCTTAAAAGCTTTAGAGAACATTTTAAAAACCCGACCCCTCCCCTAAAAGAATAAAAAAAAATAAAGATATGAATTTTAATGTAACGGTTGTCGCTTGCGCCGATAAAGAAGCAATATTCATTTCAATGTATCTAATTTTAATGTTATGCAGATGTAACGTAAGTCTTATCTATGGAGAAAAAAAATATATATTATATAAAAATTGCGTCATTTAGAATCAAAATATCTGCTTCATCTACTTCTGTCAACATGCATTTTTTTTTTTTAAATTTAAAATGTAAATATTGCATTTGATTTACTTTGTATATTTAAATAAAGATGTACAACAAAAATCAGCCCCAACCAACCCCATATCCACCCCTCCCCTAAAACTGCTAAATAATCCAAAAAAAAAAAAAAAAAAAAAAAAAAAAATTAATAAAAATACATAAGTTGTTAAACTAATGAAAAAATAAACTTTGAATTTTTGATTAAGTATAGGGAAAACTTTGAAACTTTAATTAACTATAGTAAAAACTTTGGAACTTTGGTTTACTATAGTGAAAACTTTGGAACTTTGATTTACTATAGTGAAAACTTTGGAACTTTGATTTACTATAGTTAACTATAGTAAACTATAGTTAACTATAGTAAACTATAGTATTTTTTGTTAGGGACTGCTCAAATCTATCGACCAGATATACTTTGAGAAGCTTAAATTAAAACAATGCATGACTTAAAGATCCTAATTTAACTAAGTCATGCCGTAAGAAGCGTTCACTTAAAGAAAACATTCTTATTAGGTGTTCATTTTAGTAAATAAAAATCGTTATTGAGCGGTTGATTAATATGTTTCCGGATTTCTGCACCATAAAAATAAAAAGCGAGTCATGTTATTTCACGAAATTACGCGATAATTAATTCCTCGCGTGTACTTAGTAATCTACAATAATGTGTATCTGTAAGGCATCGATTAAAAAAAAAAAAAACTATAGCGTCCTATATTTTAGTTAACTATACTTTACTGTAGTTTATTATATAGTTAACCATGGTATCAACATTTTTACTCTTATGAATTAAAGGTTTTGCTATTGTAAATCAATTTATTTATCGTATTTTTATATTTCATTTTCCCAAAGTTGTACATGCACTGTTTATACATGAAAAGGAATCAAAATTTGTACATTCACTCATAATGTCTAAAACTCACATCTTACTGTTTGTAAATATATACAATGACATGTATTTTACTAAAGTCTTCCTTTCTGATATATTGCACATTCAATTCATTTTAGGAAGTATTTTTTAAGTTAAGTTGAGCATTAGAAGAATTAATATAATATTCAAGAACAGATGTTTTGAAGCATGGTTTATGAAAAAAAGTTTGGGCTTATTTATCTGAAAAATAAAATTTGTACCAACCATACAAAACTATTAATCCTTTGAAAAATATTTAAATATTAAAAGGTTGTTAAATAAATGGAAGTATATGTAAAAAAAAAAAAAAAAAAAAAAAAAAAAAAAAAAAGACATCCCACAAAAACAGGTATTTAAAGTATGGAAAGGTTTTAGTAATTTCGACAAAAAGTGCATGATTGTAGTCTTCTCATTTATTTGGTAAAAAAGGCCAAATGTAATGCCTTGCTTTCTGAACGCCAAAGCGAATGCTATTACATGTATATGTGGTGGGAAAATAAAACGCGAGCAAAAGTTAAAATGAAATAAATTTTATTATTTTTTTAATTCTTTTTTTTTTCAGTTTTTAATTTTTTTATGAGATTGTGACCGGATATTTTTGTCGTTTGTCAAGTATATATGCCTGGATATATAGTCTCAGGTAATACCTTTGTGAACATTTTTAAAAAATGCCGAGGATTGCTTCAGAAAACTTTTAATTCTTATATATTATATATAAAATATATTTTACAAGTTAAACTTTATCTTGAGAAACCATTATAAATCCAGAATACTAACTTTATACTTAAAAGGGACTGGGCACAGATTTAATGTTAATATCTTCTAAGATTTTCAGTAACACATAATAACTTAAATATTGATAGAGCATTTCAAACAAATTTATATTAAAGCTATAAGAAAATTAAGAGTAGAAAGGTGAGAAAGCAAAATCAACTCACCAGTGAAAAGAACCCCGTAAAATGCAAACATTAACATAGCTCGTGTGCGTATTTACAGACACAGTTGTTGTCATGAAAAATCTTTTTATCTTTGAATTAAAAGAATTTTCATGAAAGTTTAATTCATTTAACTGAGGTTATTCTTCGGAAAATAAAGAAATAAAAATTGTAAACAAAAACGGCAATGCAACTGTGTCCAGGTCCCTTTAATGTTTGAGCTGAATTTTAATCTCACTACCTGTACATACGAGCGGAATTAGGCATAATCTCATTTAAAGTATAATTAGAGTTTCGAAAACCTCTCTGTTAATTATGTCTATATATAATCTATATATAATTGTAATGATCAATGCACTTATGTTCTAAATATCACCAAGTTCGCATCATGTAAATGCCTGTCAATACAGATGTTTTTTTAAAATGTCAAACCTGCTTTTTCGAAGTAGGCCGAAAAGGTCACATTCGACTTTGAACCTTAAAAGTGAAAATAAATACGAGTTATGATTATCAATAATAACATTCAGACAGCGTATCTCAGGAGACAGGTATCACTCTGTTATTGGAAATATTTCGGGGGATCTCAAGCATTATCCAAGGTAATTACTGACATAATTTGGTACATTATGGATGCATTATTATTAATTTGTTATAACTAAAGGCAAATTCAATGACCGTTATAGCTAATAACTTATGATTTAAACATTGAAAATGACTAAAATTCCCTCTTATTAAAATTTCTACATTCAACATACACGAAATGTTAGCTGTTTGTTGTAATATTTTTCGTGGAAAAAAACTATCTCTTATATTTATTGTTAATTGTCCCGTAGCAAGAAGAATGTGGAAAAAGGCCTATGTCAATAACTGGACAAAACAAAAAGTTTAGCAAAATCCCTTCAACCTTAATAATCATGATTTTTTTTTTTAATCAATCGAAATCAGAAATTTTTACCTGATAAATAAAGAATGAAATCATCGTCAGTCTATTTAATTATATTTATTCAGATGAAAGTGTTAGCTCTTCTCTGTTTCCTTGTTGCTGTAACTTGTGTTTTTGGGAGATGTGTACGTTATTGCTGTCAGTATGGACATGTGGGCCTGCAAGCCAATTGTGAAAAATATTGTAATTATTGTGGAGACTTTCCTGGATTGAGAGTAGCCCAGGTAAGTTTTTTTTTTCTTAAAAAAAAAACAAAAATAAAAACAACTACCAAATCAGTAAACTTAGCAAAGAGTGATTCAGTGCATTTGTTTTTTGTTTTTTTTTTCTGTCTACAAATGTCAAGAAATGATAGAAGATCATTCAAAAAGATTAAGGATTTTATTATTTTTTCCTTAAAAGCATTATAGATTGGCAGTTAAGCGGAGCCTTCCGAGGACCATTGCAGACATACTTCGCCATAAAAAGAAATTTAAGCACCATTAGAAAAGTAAGGCTATGTGTACTTTTATCCCCGTGTTGATGATGAATCTAGAATAAAAAAAAAAAGCAGCATTAAATGTTTAGATAGTTTTCATATGACTTATTTTCTCTCCGAGTTATTTGCCTTGACCGCCATCTTGGTGGTTAACATGGTGTTTTTTTTTTTCTCCTTGTCTTACCAAGTTTAAGAGGGTGTAACAAAAATATTTGGGGAAAAGTCTTTTTAAAACAAAAATTATGAAATAAAGGAGGCTTTAACAAATGAATACTTTTTTTTCATAAAAACAATGTTTCCTACCACACAATGGCCAGTATTAAACGTTAAAGTTCGTTGAATAATGAAGGAAAATGAGCATGTTGACCACCAATATGGCGGACAATAGAACATAACTCTTTTTAAATCAGGCCTACTGAAAACTGTCTATTGAAAGTTAACAAAATAAACAAACACAAGAACAAGCAAACAAAAAAATTAAGCAAGCAAAAGATCAAGTAAACAAACAAACAAACAAATAGATGAAAATTCTGTCCTTTTAGTGCTATTTTGATAAAAAAAAAAAATTTAAGGATTCCTCTGTCTTATATCTTAATAATTCAAAATAGTGAACATCTCTTTACCTAAATCCCTTGTTGTCAGAACATTAAACTATTCCTGATTAAGAAAAAAGAAAAAAAAAACATAATAGGATTTTTTTTTTAGTTTTTTAGAAACAAACCAGCGGTGTCAGTTTGTGTACAATAATGCGTGCAGCATTAGCAAATCAAACACATCCGGTAAAACCTCTACAAAAGCATTACATGAAACAGAACTCCTACGTATATTTACAAACACAATTGTTTTTATAAGGCTTTGAAGAATGCCGATGTCATTAAATATTAGAATTTTCATGTTTTTTTTTTAATTTATTAAACTGAAATTATTTTTCAAGTACAAAGAGAAATCAAAAATTATAAACGAATCAGCAATGCAACGATGTCTTTGCTTCGTTAAATCGTTCCTCACTTTGAATGGCTCGTTCTGTAGTTACATGTACATCCTCTTTTGCTTCGGACGAAAATTAAATATACATATTGATCCTATTAATTTACAAATTAATTTTAGTCATTTAAAAATCCTTAACAGTAATGCCAATCAATGGTTAAATTCAAATGCATAAATACAACTTAAAATAATACTGCTAAGAATTTTTTTTTTTTTTTTTTTTTTTTTTTTTTTTTTTTTCAGATGTTTTGAAAACTTGGATTTACAAAATACGACAGGACTTCAATCTGAATTGACCCCCAAGCGGCTTGATTTTATTTTTAAGAATTATATGTTTTCAGTAATAAAAATATATTCTATTGCATAATAATGAAACTGTTCTTAAATTAATTTTTGTTAATGTTTTTTATGCAAATCTTCATTACACAGTGTAATTTTGTTAACGATGCTTGTTAATCTGTTCCCGAACATTGATAGCTCGAATACTCTGTTTATACTTGATTTTGAAGTCCCAACCACAAGTTTTGTAAGTATTTTATTCTTGATATCTGATTTCTTTTAGTTTTTACTCGGTCCCATCTAGATTAAGATAACGAGGTTTTTCAGGATAAACAATTCATGTAGAATATCCACACATATTACAAATTGCATAGCAGCAAATTCATAAAAATTTGCAGATTTTTTTGACAATCTGATTAAAATATATGATTATAATATGCATTTAGATGAATATCTATCATGTTTGCTCGTACATGTTTATAACAATCGAGTTAAACGTTAACCTATCTCGAGGTATTGCAATCACACTACATGTACCTATTTGTATACATTTTTAAGAATAATGCAGAAATATCTATCTGGTTTGAGAAGATATAAATTTTGATGTAAAACATTGCACACATATGTTGCTGCTGTCTGTTCTTGTGCGTACTGCAGAATGAAAATTAAGCATATAAATGTACACTTTTTATTACCTTACATTTATAAGTAAATGACAAAGAAAACGAATTATTTCTGCAATATTTATTCTATACCAACAATTAAAGAAAATATTATTTTGTTTAAGTAATCTCTTAAGATTTGGGTAACAATATGTGCCGCACAAGTGTGCACATTTCGTCTTCAGTGACAATGAATTCGGATATCTTATTTTTCGTGGACAACAATATCTACTGATGGGCGACAATACGCGCAGTGTCATTCTGCGCGTAATGTCACCGGTCATAAAACACATTTGAGCATAAAGGTTGGATTCATTCCAGAAAGTTTTTCAAAGTTATAACCAAAATATGATAAAATTGCTACAAACTGATGGCTGAGTACCAGCGCAGTTAGCCACCATTAGAAAAATTTCGAACTGGATGCTAATTTGTCATTTCATGTCAGTATTATATATTGAACACCATCTTGTTTTTTGTTATTTACCAAATACTAAATGTATTATTATGAATTCATATATACTATATCAAACATATAAAACATTTCAAAAAATGCATTATTTTTATTCAAAGCATGACAAAAGGATTTTAGGCCGATGCCGATGAAAGGTGATTTTCTTTTTTCATCTCCTTTAAGAATAAATTATATGAAGCATTTAAAAATTAATAAATAATCTACCTAGAAGAAATTTTTGTATAGAAGTCATAATATTCTCAGATGCGGAAAAATTAATAAAATATGTTGAATAACATGATAAATCAAGCTACCCTCAACCCTAACCTGTTTGCCTTAATATTTTTTTTTTTTCAAATCGATTAAAAAAGTTGTTGGACATAAGGTTTAACTTACTCTATTCTAAAAGGTTTCGTTAGTTTGTCCTTCTGCTGAAAGCGTTTTGTATGCTGTCATACTCGTACTCCTTTTCAATAAAATAAAACATAATAAATAACGAGTAAAAGTGAGAAAAGTACGTAACTGTATATTATTTTGGTCTCAGATGAGAGAGAGAGAGAGAAGGAGAGAGAGAAAAAAGATTCATCTGTACGTTTTTCACGCTCGTTTTTACCTTAGCGTCTTTCTTCTCAATGCTAAAATTAGAAATACAAGTCAAATCAAGAATTTTAAAATTTTAGCTATATAATCATATTTTATATATATATATATATATATATATATATATACATACACCCACACACCCACCCACACCCATCCACACACACACACACACATACACACACACACACACACACACACCCTCACAATATTTTAATGACCGTTACCTTTCTCCTGCGTCTTTATTGATTCCGGCTAAACTTCTCCTGATAAAAAAAGATCAATTTCAATAATATTTTCAAAATATATCTGAAAATTCATATAGAAACATAGTACAGATTTAACTTACCTCTTACAACTGATCCTTTTATAATAGAGTTGCATTCCTAAAGATGTGATTCTAACCTCATATAAGTATGTCTGAAAAAAAAAAAAAATATATATATATATATATATATATATATATATATATATATATATATATATATATATGTATATATATATATATATATATATATATATATATATATATATATATATATATATATATATATATATATATATATATATATATATATATATTCAAAAATCTTGAATAAAGATAGAAAAGTGTGGTTACAGAGAGAGCACGGAAGCATTTAAAAAAAAAAAAACAATACCCCGGATGACGTGCAGTAACCTTTGTAGAGTTTGTACCATCTTGTAGTACAGCCATTAGATGAAGAGTACATTGATGTATAATAGTGTCCGTGATAGCCGCAGTGGACAGAGGCAGCGTCCAACTCAGATTGGAAGAGACTGAACACTGCCACCATAAGAACGAGTATCTTTACCTAAAATGACAGGATAAAAATATATCTAACATATTCTTTTGATTTCCCTATTTTATACTTAAAAAAAATATTACAGATCTCAAATAACAAGTACATAAATTTTGTTTAATACGAGGTGACATTTGATTACGATCTTTTGTATGTGTTTCAGAAAAATTAAAGTAACAGCATGTGATATATTTCGAGATTGGTGCTTCTAGCAAGAATCCATGGCTTATACTGTAAATTCCTCATAAACACAAAAATATAGCGTAATTTTGTTAGACGTTCAACAAGATTTATTCAATTTCATTTCAATATTGCTTAATTTCAGGTAAAAATTCATAACAATAATCCATTCGCGAAATAATGCTCTCGAGCTAAATTGCAACATTAAGAACTTGCAGTGTTTTGTCTGCAACCATATATTGTAGGGATGCGCGATTTTATCGGTATTCCGGTATATCGTGTTTTTTTTATTGCGTGATATGTATCGTGATACGGAAACTAAAATACTTGTACTTGGTGCATAATTATAAATTGCAGAAATTATTCATTTATTTCTTCGAACTAAAAAATAAAAATTACAGTTGGTCTAAAAAATGTTGAAAAAAAAACTACGGCATCCAAACATGCTTTTAATAAAAATGAAAAAAAAAGTGAAGTTATGTTTTGTACAGTGTATTTGTAAGAAAATTTTTAGAAGTTCATTAGAAATTGTAGTAAAAATTCCGTGTAAAAATATTACGATACGATCGTGATATTTTGGGGGAAAAAAATCTTTTTTGTTAATTATGAGAGAGAGAGAGACAGACAGACAGAGAGAGAGAGTCAAATATTGTTTAACTTTCCAGTTCAATAATACATGTACCATTACAGACACCATTTTAAGGAGAGCTTTTATTCCTCTGAAAAAAGAGAAAAGATTTGATGATTGTCAAAATATAAAGACATTTATTCCAATTGAAAAAAAAAATGTCGCTTAAAATCAATTAGTCAGTTAACAAATTTTTTAATGGACAAAAAAATCTTACCTTTTAAACGACTGTTTTGGAACCAGAAATGAAGGGGTATTTATAATGATATGCTTTAAATTAGCACGCAGTTTATGTTTACAAGGAGATCCGCAAGCATGTTGTTTAAGTATGTTTTTATGTAATAAATCTGCTAGAAAACCTGACCTATAAAATCCGGGATCACAACAACATGAAACGAGTTGATTTCTGCCAATCAATTATATCTACATTTCTTGTAGTTTCTGGAGAGTATTGCTATAAAGATTTATAGTAACTGCTCTCTTAGAATTTTTTTACAAGTACCCCTATCTTTACCCCTTTTCAATGGAAAGGGAGGAATGTAGTCTAAATCTACATCATATCCGACAAAACACATTGTGAAAATGTTGATCAATGAGATGATGATACAATGGTATCAACAACCTTGTTTAAAGTCATCTTTTCGCAAATAATATGGTCCATATTACGTATTTTACACAAAATGTAAGGTGATTATCTTATCATTGATTTTTCCAATTACTCCATAATGATAAATAGTAAACGATGAGTGTGACAGGTTTGCAGGGGATCATCAGTCCTCCATTGCATATGATCCATCCTCTGTTTGCAGAGGTCCGTCATTGCGCTGCTCACAACTTATATTGTTTAAATTGACTTTTGAGCATAATAACTTTTGCCCTTCCTTGATTGATTGTATGTTGTTTTATGTTCCGATCGAGAATTTGTCACTCATATAAAGACGTGACCATACAGGAAAAGGGAATTAAATTTAGACCTTTACTCGGCACTCAGGGCCATTGAGGAGTGAGGGTTTTTTTATCGTGCCAACACCCACCGTGACACTGTTTTTAAGGTCTCATCCGAAGGACCCGCAACTTTTACTTCAAAGTGCCGAGCGCTTGGCGAAGGAACAGTTGCTACCTATTTGTTATCGACTTAGATCAGTCGCGGCCGTGATTCGAACACACGATCTTCCGATTACGGAGCGAGCGCTCTACCGATTGAGCTACCGCGACGGCTCATCTTTGCAAAACATTGTATATTCACTAATTTTACTCTGAAAATTATGTTTGAAAAATTAAAAAAAAATATTCTAGAGTTTTGAAAGAAATTCAAAGATTCAATTTTAAGGGTCAATGAGATCTCTGACAGGGTTAAATGGAATATATTGTAAATTGATGTGTCCCACTTTGCCGTCCTGGATTTTCTTTGTTTACAGAGTGGACACATATGACCCTAAAAAGTGGGTCGTGGGGCATGTATACGGATATTCCTATATTCCAAAATCCAGCTGCGCATCTGGTTCAAATGGCATTTTTATATTACAACTCCCAAAGTTGAATACACCCTCTCCAAAAAAGGTAGGAAATATAGTGATGTTGACAAATTGAAAAAAAAAATATCTGCTTCTTTAGTCTTTATATAAGAATGTCTCTTTACACCATTTCAGTGCTTATTTATACCCATATTCATATTGAATCAAATTTAAAAAAAATGCTCATAATATGCATCTTTCGATTTAATACAGATTAATGTTTGCAATCGTCATTTTTTATTTTATTTTATTTTATTTTATTTTATTTTATTTTATTTTTTTTTTTTTTTTTGGATTTTTAAGATATACTGTAATTATAATCGAAAAGTATATCCCAAATCAAATACCGGTAAGATAGATTTGATACAACTACAGCAAATTTTGACCTTTACTTGGCACTCAGAGCAATTGAGCAGAGAGGGATTTTTTTCGTGCCAGTACCTTCTGCGACACAGTACCTAGGATTACACGGTCTCATCCAAAGCAGTCGGATTCGAACCAGCGGCGTAAAGATCAGATCCTTACATCGCGAATCTAGAGCAAACGCTCTAACCACTGCGTCGTGGCGGCAAATCGTTATAAATGTAACTTGTCAGTTCACAGCATGTTCACTGTGTAGAAACGGACTAGGGTAAAGTGCGTTACCCTAGTCCAAGATGGCGATAGGCAAAAACGCTTCACATTTTCTTCTACAAATATTGGTGATTTCTGGCGAAAATTTTTACTTTATTTTGCGCCAATCTGTCGGGCATCTTCAGTTTAACATGCTCGCTTAGAGATTGTATACAACTTTAGCGTAATTAAAAAGAAAATGTACGTCAAAGTTTTGCTGCAGATTAGGGTAAAGTGTCCGAACCATTTATTTACGATTATGGTAAAGTTTTTTCGAGACTAGGGTAAAGTTATTTATTCTACAATCTGATTGTGCATGATTTTGATTTTTAACTGCTTTATACAGTTTATATGGTTGGAAAATGCTTTCTCGAAAATGTTCATGAACTGTTGCTTCCACAAAGAGGTCATACCGATTGCAATTTTTTAAATAACCATAATTTTCATTCAAAATATTATTCTTATTATGAACGTAATATTTTTTCGTTTAAGGTACATATATTAATTTATTGTTAAATAAATATACATGTATAAATGATGTAATTAATTTATTTGATTTAACTTTAAATATTGTTTCCTGTATAAATCTAAATCTACTTTGCATCTTTTAATCCCCCTTTTGGGCGAAATCATCGAAAATGAGCCAACAAACTGTATCTAATTTGCATTTGTTGGTACTCGACAGTTACGGAATTAAATCCGTACTGCGAAAATAACAACTAGTAATCATGCTCAAAGTACAGTTAAACAAAACAAATTGTGAGCAGAGCAAACAAGGACCTCTGAAAATAGAGGTGAGATCAGGTGCCATGGTGGAGTAGGCATCATCGGTTACCTCCGCCACTTATCCTTTGTTTTAATCAGATAAAGGGAAAAAGTTTTCACAATTCAGTAAGAAAATAAAGAACTTACAATTTATATGAAAGACATCAGTCAACATTCGAGCTAACAACATAATGTATTTGCTAACAAGATCATTGCATTGATCACAGAATTTACGAAATGTTGGCCCTTAACGAAATTGTTGATACCCAAATCATCAACTTATTCGTCAGCAGCGCAGTCGTTATACATGTGGAAACTGTTCATACGAAAACATGCTCTTGCTCTTCGAATTCACTGGCGACACAAACCCTAATTGCAGGTGAAAATCATATATTGCTACACAAATACGGGAAGTAAATGATAGAGGATTTGGAGTCATCACGTTTATCATCTTTTAAGCTTAGGTGTTGATGGCTTAGTTTACCATCAATGTCTATCTTGAGTTAAACATCCAAATATGTAATGTTTCAGAATCTGTACTATCTTTTATTGAGTTTAATGGGTCATATCGAATCAATGTTTGAATGAAAATGAATATTGTAAATTGACAAAGCATCATCAATATATCTAACTATTAAATTGATTGATTGATTGATTGTATGTTGTTTTACGTCCCATTCGAGAATTTTTCACTCATATAGAGACGTCACCATATACCGGTGAAGGGCTTCAAATTTTGACCTTTACTCGGCACTCAGGGCCATTGAGCAGTGAGGGATCTTTATCGTGCCAACGCCTGCCGTGACACGGGGCCTCGGTTTTTAAGGTCTCATCCGAAAGACCCGCAACTTTCACTTCAAAGTGCCGAGCGCATGGCGAAGGAACAGTTGCTACCCATTTTATCGACTTGGGTCTGTCGCGGCCGAGATTCGAACTCACGACCTCCCGATCACGGAGCGAGCGCTCTACCCACTGAGCTACCGTGAACGGTAACTATTAAATTGAAGGTCACAGCAAGAGACTTCTTCTTGACACTTGATCGCTAACGTGGAAACAAGTGTCGAATTTTGTTTTAAAGTATAATAATGTAAATTGTGAAGATATCGAATGTTGATTAATCCCATAAATCCGTTAACAAAACGAAACATATAAATGTATTGACAGTGTACAATGTTGACGACGTAGCTCTATCAATATCTATTTACAAAATGATTTTGACAAATAGGATGTAAGATAGAAGTCGAACTAAACACCTCCGTTACAAAAGAGCGCACTTTTTGTCCGGAAAGAATTTCTATGCGTTGCTAAGGAGATTGAACTTAAGTGGTTTGATTTTCTAAGAATAATTTACTGAATGTTTGAATACCAATTTTTTCATAGTTAAGAATATTTTGAGTACTTAGGTACGATTTTTATGAAAAAACTTACAAAAGTTTTCTGAATCGAACCCCAGGTTTATCTGCATTTATTATATACCCATCAATTTCCTTGTTTTTGTTACTGTTAATTTTACAGAGTGTGATCCGACTTTCCAGATCACCACACTGTGGTTTTCTGAATCCATATCACCCCTCTCTGAAACTGATGACGTAGTACACAGATAAATGACGTTTTTATTCTCGCGCATCAAAAAGTTCCTTGACAAAATGGTTTGTTTACTGGATAAAAGTTATGTAATTGATACAAAAAAGTTTTCCTTTTATTATACTTTGCTAGTTGTAAAGGGGTATATAATAAATTTATCATTATAACAGTAACTTGATCCGAAGAGCCGTATCACGTCTCGTTGACAGGCGCGGATCATCAGATCAAACTCGACGCTTCGCGTCTCGTTTGATCTGATGATCCGCGCCTGTCAACTCGACGTGATACGGCTCCTCGGATCAAGTTACTGTTATAATAATATATATTTATCTAACTCTTTGACAAATGTTTTGCCAAAGTTTTCTCATAAGGTACAGCAAAGTTTATTTTGCCCGTTTTTCTCAATCTAGGGTTAAGCGTATACGTGCTAGTAAAATACCATTTTCTGTATAATATGCAAATCTAAATACAAAAAAGTAATCGAGATCGAGAGAGTATACACATAAGTTAATGACACAAGGATATCAACCATCTCGTTTAAATTCGACAATTCGCAAATTCTATGGTTGATACAATGACCTTGTTTGCAAATACA